GGTCACGAAAAAGACAAAAAAATATATATATATATCATCAAAAATCAGTGTCCACACTTCCAACTGTCTGTTAAATAAAAATTTAAACAATTTCGAAGTAATAATTCATCCAAAGTCCATACAGTACAACTGGTTGACATGTCTTTTACATCTCTTCTAATCTATAGGTTCTCCTATCATCTTTTGATTTCCCCTGTAATTTATTTGTTGAAGAAACTGGTTTTGATTGTATAGTTTCTCATATTCTGAATTTTCCTAACTACATTCCCAAGGTGTAGAGCATGTTCCTCTATCTTCTTCCCATAAATTGGTAGTTGACTTTAGGAGCTTGATCATACTTAGGACCAATTTTATTGGCAAAGTTACTTCACAGATGATAGTGTGTTCTTTCATTAGGAAAACATAATGTCTGATTGTCTCTTATTTCTGTGATGCACTGATGTTCAATACCTAGATCCAATAGTTCACTGTGGGTTCCAAAATGTTAATATTCTATCATTCCTTCTTCATCTATTCACTGAATACTTTTATTAAGAGAAATATACCTCCATCTACTACCTATTGATACAGTTTCATAAGAAAGGCATGATAAATGCTTCTTTTTCTTTAAATTTATGTTTTCCAAATAAGTTAGTTCTCTAGTAGCTTCTAATGGTGAACAGTTTGGTGTTGGTGTCACTAAGAATTCATGAATTAATCATATTTTATGTGTTATAATATACTGCAGTTATTACATGTATTGATGCTCAAATGGTCCCATCTTTGGCCAACTGAAGCCTCTTCAAATTGGCTCTTCTTCCCTGACCACCCTATCTAAAATTACCCCACTCACTCATTATAATTCTCCAAATCCTCATCTTATTCACTTTTCTTCATAATACTTAATCACTTTAAGATATTTAGTAATCCATTTATTTGTTTACTTGGTTACTATGACTCCCCTACTATAATGACTCCATAAAAAGAGGGCAATAAAGAAATAAATACATAAAAGTTAAAATACAAAAGATAGGCTAGAAAGGAATTAAATCAAAAATACATGTAAAATGCTTATCACCAAGGAAGAAAGCTTCCACCTATTGAAATGGAAAGGAAATAAGAGAGATAAGAAACAAGTGGTAGGGCCGGCCCGGTGGCGCACTGCTACAGTGCACCGCTTGGGAGTGCAGTGGCGCTCCCG